GAGTCGGAACCGATTCCACGGCACATAACAATAACAACATAGAGTTTCTGATTCCTGGTGTCATGATGTAGGATAAACATTGGACTGCAAGACCACTTTGAATCACAAAGTTGGTGGTTCAGACTCACCAGCCCACTCCTCAGAAACCCTATACAGGGTCGCTAGGAGTTGGAACCAGTTCGACGGTCTTTAGCAACAACAACAACAACATAGGGTTTCTGAGGAGCAGCCAGTGGGTTTGAACAACTGACTTTACAGTTATCAGTCCAGTACTTATCCTACAATGCCACACTTACTTAAGTGATAGTAAAATAGTCAAGATTAGGAAAGTAAATGTAGTCTTTGATGAAGAACTAGAAAAATGCATTTCTAGAATATTCTCTCAGTCTTAAATGTATCTAAATATCCTTTTTGTTCCTCCTAAGTTTTTATTATGAAGTGAGTGAAGGTTTATGGAACAGATCAGCAGTTTAAGTTTCAACAAATCATATATTTGTTTCATCTCAATGATTGCAGTCCCTCAATGTGACATCACTTATTCCACTTCCACTTCCTCCTTGTGTTTTGTTTTGGTTTTTTTTTCAGGACCCAGAGCTGGGTTTTTTGCCCATTCTAAGTCAGCATATCTTACTAGAGTTGTTATATATTGTCGTCTCTATTACCCAAGTTAACACATGTCTGATAGTAGTCTCATAAATATTTGTCCTTTTGTGATATAGTTTATTAATTTTCTTTGAAGTTACCCTGCTCTGTCTTGAAATTTATTTTACTTCTTCAACATTTGGAAGTTCTGTAACTACAGTATTCCCTCTTTTTGTTTTATAATTGTCTTCATTTAAAATTGATATCTCTGGTTCTCTATTTTCAGTCTAGGTTTGTTTTGCTTTGGAAACTTCTATATCTGGGTTGACTTCTGGATGGCATTGCTATGTATGTTAATCTCAGGTGTTGTCTGCTGTTGTTGGTTCTCTGTTCAAAGAACTCTCATATTTTTGTAAAGTTGGTTTGGTTTTTACAAATTCCTTTAATTTCTGTTTATCTGGTTCTAATTTCACCATGGTATTTGAGGAACAATTTTACTGGGTATATTAATATTTGAATGGCAACTTTTTTCTTTCAAGATTATATATATGTTACTCCATTGCCTTCTTATCTGCATGATTTTGCTGAGAAATCAGAACTCAGTCTTATTGGTTCTCATTTGTATGCAATTAATTTTTTCATAAACTACTTTCAGGATTCTGTCATTGTCTTTAGCTTTGGAAAGTTTGACTGTAAAATGTCTTGTTGTTTTTCTTTTGGGGTCTGTATTGTTTGTGGTTTGTTTAGGATCTTAAAGTAGTTCCAGTACCATTTCTTCCTCAGAAACATTTTTTGGCTCTATGTTTTGATCACTTGTTTAAGTCACTCTTTCATGTTTCCTCATATGAACTGAAATTTTCTGTTGTCTTTTGTGTTGTTGTATTTACATTTAATTGATGATTGTATGTTGGTGTGTTCTTGGGCACTCACAACTTGCCCTCCAGTTGGATATAATAGAAGTGAGTATGCAATTCTCTGTTTATAGTACAGCTCAGTGTGGGCTTGGCTGCTCTTGTGTGCTGTCATTGCTTAGGTGGCACAGGAACTCACAGTGGCTCTTGTCCAGTGGGTGGGACTGCAGAGGGTACAGTTGTGGCTGGGCTGTAGGGCATTGGGTAGGGCAAGAAAAAAAATTAATAAACAGACAAAACAGCAAAAAAAGAAAATAAAGGAAATTAGGAAAAGACCCTAACAGGTAACAGCAAGAAAAAAGAATATAGTAACTAAAGAAACAAAAAAGGAAAGGAAAATAAAACTGGGAAGAGAAAAATAAAACAAAAAAAAAAAAAACAAAAAACTAAGGAGTAGAATGAAGAAAAGAAAGAGATAAGAGAATAGTAAAGAAAAATTAAGAGGTAAAAAGAAGGGGCAGTGGGAAAAGAAAAGAAATATAAGAAAGAAAAAGGAAAGTAGTGAAAGAAAAGATTTTTTTTAAAGGGGGGGAAGGGAGAAAAAAGAAGAAGAAAATAACAAAGGAAAAAAGGAAGAGGCTAGGCCCAGATAGAGAACAGCAGGGAGCAAGGGTACTCATTATTGGTTGGCACCAAGGAATTCTTGAAGTGGGAAGAGGAAGGGTGAGAGGATTGTGTACCCAGCCCTAGATAGAGTTTCTATAGGCTTAGTTCAGGCTACCATCTCATTTGAATTGCTGTTGTTAAGTGCTGTCAAGTCAGTTCCGACTCATAGCAACCCTGTATAGGGTTTCTGAGGAGCGTCTGGTAAGCTTGAATTGCCAACCTTGCAGTTCAGATCGACCTTGCAGTCCAGTGTGTTAACCCACAGCACCACACCAGGACTCCCTCATTTGAGTACTATTCACCAAAATTGAAGGTAGCTGCACTGTGTCAGGGTAGCTGACAGTTCACCAGTCTGTCTCCTTTCTCACCACTTCTGTTCAG